GGCTGCTTTGGCAGAAACATCTCAGTGCCAGCCCGGCAGGCAGGGCTGAGCCCAGCCCGGGGCTCTGGCTGCCGAGGCTGCTGATGCTGCTGAGTCAGCAGCCGCTCCCCGGCACAGCCCGGGCCTGCTGAGCCCTGCTGGGTGCTGAGCCTGGGTCCGGGCTGGGATCAGCCCTGCTATGCCCGGGTATGGGCTGCGATCAGCCCTGCTGTGCCTGGATCCGGGCTGGGATCAGCCCTGGTGTGCCTGGGTATGGGCTGGGATCAGCCCTGCTGTGCCCTGCTGAGCCCTGCTGGGTTCTGTTCCTGGGTATGGACTGGGATCAGCCCCACTCCTGTGCCCATGTTCTGGCTCGGCTCAGCCCCACTCCTGTTCCTGGTGAATCCCCTGTCCCTGCCGGCTCCCAGGTGTGGCTGCAGCCCTGTCCCCTGTGATGTGGGGCTGCAGAGCTCTCCCACCCTGGCTGGCACCATCACCCTGCTCCCACAGCCCGGCTCCCTTTTCCCCTGGCTCCAGCATCTCTAAGCCAGGGTCCAAGTTTAGATCCTCCCGCTCCAGGCTGGGTGTGGATCCCCAGCCCAGCAGGGAGTGAAAGGCTCTTTATCCCACCTTTCCTTCGCCTGTTTGTTTGATCCCTCCCACAAGTTTTTCCGGTGCCGCGGTTTTCACTTCTGCCTGGTTATGCCACGGGTTTTAAACCTGAATGGAGTATTTATCTAAATATATCCAAACACATCCCTGTAATTCCTCGCGACTTCTGGGGGCAGTGAGTGATCCAGGATTCTTTTTGGACTTGGGCAAAGGTGCAAACGACTGCAGGGTAATTCAGCGTTGTCCCTCAGGCCAAGCCAAAGGGGGCTGGCAGGTCCAGGCCAGGCTGGCGTTCCCTGCCCCTGGAGCCTGTGTCACACTGGGCAGCTGTGACACGCCTGCCGTGGCTCCCCGGTGCCTCCACACTCGCTTTTCTAAGAGGAGCAAAGAGACAAAATTATATTAAAGAGAGCCTTGATGCTTAACCGAGCTGCAGCTCCTGAGGAGAGGTGGGTACTGGTTCTTCTGCAAGTGGCTAAATAGGGGTGAATATTTAAGATGCTGTATTTATTCAGGCTGTAATGACATGCTGCTTTTTTTGAGAGAGTGTGTTTCATCAAAAGCAAGTGTTCTGTTCCCTGTTCTCTATGTTGTGTGGTGGCTTTTCCTCCTCCCCTATACTTTTTTTGGCTAATTAAACTATTCAATCCAAATTCCTTTTTTTCTTTTTTTTTTCCTTTTTTTCGTTTCACTGCTGTGCCGTTTTACTTCAGTTTATTTTGTGTTTTAAAATGGCTTCTATTTAAATTTGGAAGGGAAGAAAAATAAATCTGCTAAATATATTTCTATTCAGATCATATGTTGTGGCTTTTCTCTTTTTGAAGAATGAGGTCTAATTTTTGAACCTGAATTCACTTGGCACAAGTCTTGGCTTCAGCAATGTTGGGTTTCCTTTTGTTTTAAAGTAATTCCCTTTTTCCTACTGCTGGGATACATTTATGTCTTCGTGCTAGCAAAGCTTTTAGGCATGTGTTTGGTTTGAAAATGTTCATCGGAGCAAATATGGGCAGAGGATTTGAGGATGAGGCTGTCAGTGAGTTTTATGGTGTTTTATGGTGATCCTTGGTGAGATGCTGTGGATCTGGAGCACCATCAGTCCTTTCCCACTACCCATGCACATCCACTTTGGATAAATCTTTGCAAAAAGATGCAGCACATCATTTTCCTTTCCTTTTTGTCTCTCTCTCTCTGAAAAGCCAGGCCTTGTTCCTTTCAAGTAGGGTAGGGTGGGGTTTGGGTTTTTTTTGAGGGAAAGGGAGTTTACTAAATATTTGCTGCATTCGGAAGAAGGAAAAGGTAGAAATAAGCAGCAGAATCTAAGGTATATTCAACAGCAGAGGGATTAATTCACAATTATGTGAAGTTGGAGGTTTTTTTTAATTGATTAAAGCTTTATCTTAAGCACTTCAGCATGGCTAGAATATGTTTCTCAGTGAGGAATGTGTGACTGAGAAACATGGAAAGAACAGCTGGGGGAAAAAATAGCTAAGAAAAATAGAGATTTTATGGTGTTTCTGACAAGCTGTGTCACTGCCTGTTGTCCCTAAAGTCACAGTCCTCAAAGCTGGACTGTTTGGGTCATCTGAGTTCCTGGGCTTTCAGAGGGGTTTGAGACACGTTTTTCTGTGAATAGGAATTTCTGACAAGGATGTGTAACTTAGCTGCACCCTTCTGAGAAGGTTTTCTGGAGGACAGAGGAACTGTGAGGCTGTTAGTTAACCCCAGTCCCAACGCTGCTTGTTTCTAATTGTTTTGCTGTCTCTGCTTAAAAATTCATCTGCTATAGCGAGAAAGGAAGCAAAATGTAGATGCTTCAGAGCAAAGGTATGAATAAAATCTTCTGCCTATAGAAACTGGGAGATGGAAAACCACAGCTCCAGCAAGCAAGCACAACTAAACCAAATGTATGCATTGAGGGAGAGAAGCCCTTAGCATGCATGGTAGCAGAAGATGTCATGTAGGAGATCTGATTTATGGTGGAAACCTCGACTTTTGGCCACGCTCTGAGGTCAGGTTTCTGAGTAAAGCCTGCATTGCTGAGTCAGGCCAGTGGGTCCTTGAATTTTCTGGTCTGAACGTGATGTAACATTGCTCTCCTCTAGCCTCAGTGAAGTTCAGGTACTTGGTGGGTGGATGTGGGGTCCTGTTTGTGGCTGTGTATTCTTCATGGGGAGTGGGTAAGTTTAGTGCCCATGCCCAGCTGTGAGGTGCTTCAGCCCTTCCCATCTCAGGGGATAATGCAGTGAGACACAGAACACATTTGTGGAGGGAGCCCTGGGGTGGCTCAGCCTTGATGGCAGAGCCACGCTGGGGTCTTGGGTGTGTGCTGGGTGCTCAGAACCTCACAGGACCTGCCCTGTGCCCTGCACCTCATTCCCTTACCCTGGGGGTCCTGTAGCCCTTGCAGCCCTGTCCCTAACCCTGCAGCCCTGTCCACTCACCCTGCAGCCTCATCCCCTTGCCCTGGACATCCTGTAGCCCCTGCAGCCCTGTCCCTTACCCTGCAGCCCTGTCCCCTTGCCCTGGGGGTCCTGTAGCCGCTGTAGCCCCCTCCCTTTGCCCTGTGGGTCCCTTTTCCCTGCAGCCCCATCCCCTTACTTTGCAGCCTGACCCCTGCCCTGCAGCCCCGTCCTCTTACCCTGGGGGTCCTGTAGCCCCTGCAGCCCTGTCCCGGCTCGGCCTTGATGGCAGAGCCACGCAGGGGTCTTGGGTGTGTGCTGGGTGCTCAGAACCTCACAGGACCTGCCCTGTGCCCTGCACCTCGTTCCCTTGCCCTGGGGGTCCTGTAGCCCCTGCAGCCCTGTCCCTTACCCTGCAGCCCTGTCCCCTTGCCCTGGGGGTCCTGTAGCCGCTGTAGCCCCCTCCCTTTGCCCTGTGGGTCCCTTTTCCCTGCAGCCCCATCCCCTTACTTTGCAGCCTGACCCCTGCCCTGCAGCCCCGTCCTCTTACCCTGGGGGTCCTGTAGCCCCTGCAGCCCTGTCCCTTACCCTGAAATTCTGTCCCCTTACCCTGCAGCCCTGTCCCCTGCCCTGCCAGTGCCCACGCAGCCCCTGAGCCGCGGCGCTCCCCTCCCCTGCTGGTGGGGTGCCCGGGGTGCCCCCCTGCCCGGCGGCAGCGCTGATCCTGCCCCTCGGAGGCTGGATCTCTGCTCATTAGCTGCTGTTTGCTGAAACCGGATACCTGGGGCACCCCCGCCAGCCCGGAGTCCCCGGGCTGCAGCTATTTAAAAGGACAAGGGCAGCCTCAGAACTTCCACCTCTTTCACATCCATGTGCCTCCCAGCGCCCGCTCCCCACCGCCCTTCCCTCCTTGCTGCCTGCAGCATCCATGAGCCACGAGAGCAGCGACGGCCCGAGGGGGACGTGCCAGCCCCGGGGAAGGATTATCTGCTGAATTTGGGGGGACCCCCGAGAGCCCCGGCTGGCCCCGGGCCCCTCACCCCGGCTGCCTCTCCCGGGCTCGCAGAGCAGGAGACACCTTGAGGGGAAGGAGGGAGGAAGGGGCTTTGTTTGAGTTTTTTCTTCCTCCTTTTTTTTTTTTAATTTTTTTTTTTTTTTTATTTTTAAAATCGTTATTATTTTTAAAGAAGTAGCAATTCTGCTGGGACAAATGAATGCCCACGGGCATGGGGTTGCACGGAGATGCTGCTCAGGCTCTCAGCTCGCTGCAGAGTAAGTGCCCGAGGCAGAGGTGCTGCCAGGGGGAGGGAGCAGGGCAGGGGCACCCGCGGGTGCAGGGAGGAGGCACCGCTGCCCTCACCTCCTCAGGGAATCAGAGGACAGCAGGGACCTGCCGCTCGCCCTGGGGCTCCACGGCTGGCTGGGTGGGACTTTGGATGAGGAGGGGAAGCAGGGATGAAGGTTTTATCCACATGTGGAAGTCCCCTCTCCTGCCAGAGCTGACCAGGAGGATTCGGGATCCAGCTTGTTCTGATGGACCTCGCATGGGGAAACTCACTGCCCCGTTCCTGCCCTCCGGGATGCAGATTCCTCCCTCGGTGCTGGGAGGAGAGGGGCTCTGGAGATGCTCTGGGGAAGCAGAGCAGCCCAAGGAGGGGAACAGGGGCATGGGGGTCTTTTCTCCTCCAAGCCTGAGTCCCATCCACAGGCTGCCAGCGCTGATCCCAAGGGAAAAGCCATGTCAGGTACTTTGCAAGGTGGGTCCAGGCCGGTTTGGGGCTCCTGGCCCTGGACAGGTGAGTGGAGGGGGCTGCAATTTCCATCAGCAAAGAAGGGCCTGGGCTTCCCCTGGACAGGGTCTTCAATTCTTTCCCCGCAGTTCTGGCCAAAAGAGTTTCTTTTTTTCTTTCTTCTTCTTCTTCTTTTTTTCCCCCCCCAAATTATTTATTTATTTTGTATAATTTCTCGTAAATGCTTCGCTATTACAGAGGAGGGCAGCAGAGAGAGGCAGTAAGGACATCCTTAAATAATTTTCATTTCTCAAAATCTGCCTTTTCCTCTTCTCTCTAAGTCCAGAGGAGAGATCCTTGGGGGGTGGGAGGCACATCTGCATTGCAAATAAAAATAATAATTACAACCACCAACCAACCAACAACAAAAAATGTAACAGCTAAGAAAAAACACTTGAAATCACGGACTTTGGGAATCAGAGATCACAGAAATTGCACTATTTATAAGGAGAGGAAAAAAAAGGCAAGAAATCCAGCGACCATGGGCCAGCCTGGCTTCCTAGAGTGTACTTTGTGTTCTCTCTCCTTTTTCCAAGGTAATTGCAGTCTGCCGAGAGGGAGTTAAATGGGATTAAAAGATCTGTGTAAGCAAAAGGACCCAGAAGAGAAGGAGGAAGGAGTGAGCCGTCCGGGCCAGGGGTGTCTGTGACACAGCTGAACCCCTTAGCGAGGCAGAGAGCCGAGCTCCTGGGAAGGATGTACCCACAAACCGCCTTATGCCCCGATTTCTGATGGATTGCCGCAAAAATTGCCCGAAAGAGACAATGCACTAAACGTGATGGAGCCGGAATCAGAGCCGGTCTCCAGACTCAGAGCTACAGCGGCAGGCAGGGGGTGAGTACAAACTCCGCTACTCCCGGCGCTGGGGAAGGGAATCCCGGGCGGGCTGGGGGTGCCGGGGAGCCGCGGGATCCCGGGAATTGGGAGCGGGGTGGGGGAACACATTCCTCTGCCAGGGGATGATGTGAAAACTCCAGCTCTGGAGAGGAGAACGGGCTGCGAGCGGAGAGGCCACGCTGCGGAGCGGGAGGAACGGGGCTGCGGGGTGCGGGGGACCGGCGGGGAGAGCCCCCCCAGCGCCCCCAGCCCCACGCACCGGGCCGGGGGCTCCCAGCGCGGGGGTGCTCCGGGAGGCGGTGCAGGATGCAGGAGCTGCCCCTCCAGCCCTCACCCTGCCCTGCCCGGGGGGTGCCAGCCCCTCCTGCAGCAGGGGTGCTGCTCCTCAGCCGGTCCCTCGGGGACACGGGTACCTGGGTCGTGCTTCTTGAGGTGGGGAAGCCCCGAGGGATGGGCACGGCGGAGGTGCGCGGCGGCAGCTCCTCTTCATGTGCTCGGCACACACAAAACGCTGCTCCCTCTCCGCCCGTGTGTGAAAGGATCCCGGCGCACAGGCTGCCCGTCCCCCTTCTCCCACAGCTGGGGCCAAATTTTGCTGTTTTCGTTGTTAAGCGCGTTGTTGGTGGTGGTTTTGTTGTTGTTGTTGTTATTTTCCCGGGATCCCGCAAAGGGTTAATCCCGCTGGCTGCGTTGTCGGATGTACTGATGATTTACCGACACTCCCTTGGAAAGGCTGGGATTCTTCTGCCTGGCAGTTTGAAAAAGTTGTGTACAGGATCCCTCTGCCCGGCTGGGCTGGGAGATGGGGGAAAGAGGGGGACCGGGGCCGGGGGATTTGGGGGCAGCCCCCCTCCACCGCCGGGGTCATCCCGCTGCCGCCCCTTCCCCAGGGCCCGAGGAGGGTGAATGTGCAGCTCCCTTGGAGGCTCAGCCTGTGTGTGGAGTTACAGGGAGAGCCCAGATCCCATCCCAGGGGCTGCAGCTGCTCTCCTTGACAAGTTTTCTGTGTGTTTATATACTCACAAGGGCTGAATCTCAGCGTTTTGGGGTTCTTGCGGTGTGGGGGTTTTCTTTGGGATTTTTTTTTTTTTTTTTTTTTTTTTTTTTTTTTTTTCTCTGCTTGACAAGTTTTCTGTGTGTTTATATACTCACAAGGGCTGAATCTCAGCGCTTTGGGGTTCTTGCGGTGGGGGGGTTTTCTTTGGGATTTTTTTTTTTTTTTTTTTTTTTTTTTTTTTTTGGCGTAGATGTGGCTGTGGCGTGTCTGGAGCCGCTGGTAACTGCAGCATCTCCCAGTTACACCTTTTTAGTGCTGGGAATGGTCTGGGAGAGCCGCCTGGCACCGTGCAAGGGTGGCTGGCGTCAGAAAGGGAGCAGCCCCAAGGGGACCCGACAGATAAAGGTTCCTTTGAACCAGCAGCGTGTCACAGCGAGGGGACGGCTCTGGAGCGACACTTGGCCCCAGGCACAGCCCCTGACAGGGCACCAGCTGCCCGGCCTGCCCGGGGCTCGGCGCGGTCCGTGAGGACAGCGATGTGCCCGGTGTGCTGCCTGGGGACAGATCCCAGCCCTGTGAGCGCGGCTCAGGAGGGACCGGGGGCAGGCAGCGTGGCTCCCGGCCTGCCGGGGACCCGTGCCCGGCTCTGCCTCGGGGTGTCCCCGGCTGGCACAGCCCTGCCGTGGGCTCCGAGCCGGGCAGTGCTCAATCTGCCCCCGGTGCCTGGGCAGGAGCGCCTTTTGCGGGGGTCCTGGCTGGCCTGTCCCCTGCCGGTGCCGCTCCGGTCCCTCCTCAGCAGAGGTCGCTTGCTGCCCTTCGCATCCTCTCCCTCAGGGATTTCGGGGCTGGATCCGAGTCTCCTGGCGGAGCGCCGTGCATCCCACCGCCCCATGGCCCAGGGCCCCCTCAGGCCGCTGCTCTTGGGCAGGGTGCCCTGAGCGGCTGGCACGGCCCTGGGCCAGCCTGGGCTGGCTGAGGGCTGTGCTGCCTGGGGACAGCTTGTGATGGCAGTGGTCTGGCACTCCCGTGTGGCACTGGGGTCCCTCTGGTACTCGTGCAGCTGATTCTGGAGCAGGGCTGGTGGCTGGGGAGCTGCGGGCCCTACAGGAGGCCTGCGGGTGACCCAGGGGAGGAGCGGCAGTCGCAGGGTCTGCGGGAAGACTTGAGCTGCCAGAGTTTGTAAAACCAGAAGGACACAAAATTTTACAGGCTCTTCAAGCTTAGAGTGCCCCTCTTGGTAATTTCTAGCGAGCACAGACCCCCCAAAACACGGGGGAGGGTCTGCATTACGCTGCACATCGAGTCCAGGTGCTGTTCCACTGTGTGACTTTGGCCCACTCAGCCCCAGTGCCACTTCTGGCCATGGAGGAGGCTCGATGCTCCTGGGGACCTCTGATGGGTGACAGCCTGCTGTCACAGCCCTGGGGTGGTGGCACAGTGCTGGTCTGGGGCTGCCTGGCCCATCTGTGTGCTGGATGAGGAAGCTGCACACATGGTACTACAGCATCCACCCAGCACCATTGGGGTGGGTCAGCCCCTGGGAAGGCCTAAAAGGGCTGGAAGGGGGCATGGATCCTTTTTAAGACGAAAAGAGGATGGCTTGCAAGCTGGGCAGGTCTGGGGACAGATTATGGCACTGCTGGACAAATTCAGCAGTAGGGTGGCAAATGATGTGTGTGCTGGGTGCTTGGGGGTAGAGAGGAGGCAATTGCACCTGGAGATGTGTCCCATGAGGGATAGACAGCATCATCGTCCAGGACCACCCTCCTGCTATTTCCATGCGTCTCTCTGAGTGTGTGCTTTATTAAAATAAAGCTCCAACTTCATCCCCTTTCTGCAGTGGGTTGAGGGGTTAAAATCTGCCCTGCTTAATATCTCTGTTCATGAAGATTCTGTTACTGACTGAAGGTTGGCCAGGTTTGTGGTGAGATTGGTGTTGGAAATCTCTGCCCAGGGACAAACAGGGTTTGTGGGATTTTTTTACTCCCTTCCGTTTCTTTGCCAATTTGTTGGGGACATAAGTAGAAATGATGGACGCTTTTACTGAAGCAAATGGAAACAATGGGGAATTCTATATGGCTCTGCCAAACCCCATTCACAAAATGAAGGAATGCAAAGGCATTTGTTGGAAGGACAAAAAAGGAGTTAGATGACAGATCAGGCTTAGCACTTCTGTTTGTCGAGGGCTCCAGTTACTGGAGAACACAAAGGCCAGGGCCAGCACTGAGTGTTGTCACTTCACACAGCAGCAAAGCCAATATCCCAGACAGACAGGGATGGGGAGCGAAGGGCAGGGAGTCATGGGTTCCCAGGAAAGATCCCCACTGTGGAGAGCTGCTGGGAGCTGCCTGGAGGTGTTTGAGCCTTATCAGTCTGGCATCTCTCATGTGGGGGAGCAGGTTGGCACCAGGAGCAGCCCAGCTCTGGGACAGCTCTGTGCAGTGAATGCACAGAGGCTCCAGTTCAGTCAGGAGGACAAGGACCAGCAATTTGGGACCCTTCAGCCCTCTGTGTGCAGGTGCCAGCCTAAACCCCTGAGAGGATGAGGTGTGAGGTCACCCTGGCCATGCTGGTGCTTCATCCCCACCTTCTGTGCACTGCAGGTCAGGGTGGCCCTCCTGGAGAAGTCCTGAGAGGAGCTGTAGGTGCCAGATGAGCAAATGTCAGGCCTTTATGGATCCAGCTCTCCTGCTATGGGCAGGGACACCTTCCAGTAGACCAGGCTGGTCTAAGCCCTGTCCAACTTGGCCTTGAACCCTTCCAGCGTTAGGGATTTCATTTTTCCTTACTTAATATTGGCATTTTCTAGATCGCTCTGTTAAGAATGTATTTCTAGGGGCCATATCTCTTTGCCTGCTCAATACTTTTCCTTAAAAATGTAGCTGCTGAATGGGGATTGAAAACTAATAGTATTTCAGTTGTTTCAGAAACTTTGCCCTTATCACACTGGCGTTTGCAGCAGTGTCTGTGCACAAAATCTTTGCCTGGAGGTGTAAGTCAATACCTCATTTATACTGCAGGAAAGGACTGAGCAGGGTCAATATGGGGACATCTACATAGTTGTGTGTTTCCATTGCTCTTGCCAGAAATTGAGGGGGAGTGGAGAAATACCATCATTTCCAGAAGCCCCAGAAGCTCCACAGAGGAGGCTGCTGGTACAAAATAAGATTTGTACCCCAAAAAGCTGGGATGGAATCGATGCACAGTACAATTTAGAGCCTCAGTTTATAGGTTGTGATTTGCTTCCTGTTTGTCAAAACTGCTTGGGACTCTTGCAGAATATCACCTCCAGTCATGGGCAAGGGGTCTTATCTTAAGCCACACGTGCATTTTCTCCTTTTTAAGATATACTGTCTGATCTACAGCTAGAAATGCAGATTTGCTTTTCTTGAAAAGCAATTTTCAGCCTCCAGCTGGCTTTGTGGTCTTTTGAACAGGAAGAATATACACCTGAATGGAGAAAAGTGGTGGGGAATTGTTTTTCCACCTTGCAGTAATGTTTGCAATTTCAAAGCCATTTCCCCACTGTAAATGAAGGAGAAAAAAAATAATTAAATGCTGCCATGGGCCCTTGAAATAGTTCCTTCAGCTTCAACCCATCATCTAAACAAACAAGATGTCAAAATCATTTGGACTTCTTATCTTAAGGCAGGGCAAACCTTTTATTAAAAAAAAACCCTGGAATTGTGCCAAACCAATTCCAGAAATAGTGTGAAATTAGCTGATCACAATTATTTTACAGGTTGCCTCAGCTTTGTCAAATTGTCACTTCCTCGAGGACAATTTGTGACCAAGTTTACCCTGAAGGCTCTTTGGTTCCTGCTGTCCTAAATTCAGTGCAGGGCTTCATTCCAGCACTTGTCTGGTCAGAAGGGAATAAGGGTGTTTGTGCTTCTCTGTCCCTCTCAGTTGTACTTTTCCTTGGACTCCTGGCACTGGTCAGTTCCCGTGGACTGATCCACAGGAGCTTGCCAAAAGTGGGGAAGTAAAATTAAGCTGTAGTCAGTAACTTCAGTTTGCTATAAAGGGAGTTGATGTCTGCACTGGAAAACTTTAAAGGCTCATGTGAGCTTACATCATGTGTGCTGTGGGGCACCTCTACACCCAGGACTGCAGCAGTGGGTTGGGTTGGAAGGGACCATAAAAGTTCATCCCATTCCACCCCCTTCCATGGGCAGGGACACCTTCCACTATCCCAGGCTGCTCCAAGCCCTGTCCAGCCTGACCTTGGATGTTTCCAGTGATGGGTCAGCCACAGCTTCTCTGGGCAGCCTGTGTCTCACCACCCTCACAGGGAACAATTTCTTCCTAATATCAATTCTAAGTCTGCCCACCTTCAGTTTAAAGCCTTCCTCTTTGTCCTGTCCCTCCATGCCCCTGTCCAAAGTCACTCCCCATCCCTCTTGGAGCCCCTTTAGGCACTGGAAGGTGCTCCAAGTTCTCTCTTGAGCATTGTTTTCTCCAGGCAAACAACCCCAGAATCCTCATTGTGGTACTCACACAGCCTGTGAACAAAAGAAATAAACGCCTTTAGTGGCGTCTCTTGATAGCGTGGAAATCACTGCTCATGGGAGGAAGCCGAGATAAAGGCAAGGTGGGTTTGATAGCTCTATATAAGGAGAAAAATCTTCTTTACTCCTGCTACTCCAGCTGCTTATGCAGCTCTGTCGCTGCAGAGCTGTAACGGAAAAAGAGCCTGCATTAAGAACCCCGGGATAATTAACAGCCCCATCACTCACACCGCTGCCATTTGGAAGCTGCTTTTGCTTTTTCCATTAAGTTGGTGAATTTTGCCAAAGTGTTTTTCTTCAGTGTTTTGGCACCT